CAGGGTCAGATTTGATGTTCGTTCATAGGGTTGTTATGGGTCGTACTCGATTCAGTGGCACTTAATAGTAACAGCAACATGTTTGGAGTTAACTGGGTTTTGTGAATTTTGCTAACTTTATTACTTTTATTTAATTATTTTTGTTTGTGTACTGTTGAATCGGATCCGACTGGTACAGGCGGAGCTTGTCCCTCCTTCTCCAGTGGAGAACCTAGTGGTTTGGAACCGGAATTTTGCTAATTTTAAAGTTTATTTTATCTTTTGATTTTCTTTTTAAGTTGTTGTTCTTGTTTTCTTTTTAATTTTTCAATCCATGAGTAAAGACAAGCTTATTCTTAGAAAAGTATTTTTGAGATAATTGATATGTGTGTGATTTTTTTTTTAATATTCTAACTACTGAATAGATTCTTCTCTCCTGGGAAATACTTTTCTCCTTTTGTGTTTAATTTTAGTTAAATGGCATGACTGTTGGCAGTTTTTAAGTTAAATAATAACTTTCAGCTAGTGATTAAAAATCCAACTATTTTACATTTTAGATATAGTTTATTTTCTGCTGAATAGTATATATTTGGATGAATTTTTCTAATAATTTTTAAAACTTTCTCATAGCAAAAATATACTTTTCCCCCCATAAAGCAAAAATACACTTAGGAAAGTTTATAAAATAATTAATTTTATCTTTACTTTGTGAGTTTTAGAAAATATCCATCAACTCCTAGCTTCTTAATAATCTTAAAAGATTTTGATATTCTATAGTCTTAAAAGATTTTTAGTGTTAAATGATATGAAGCAGTTTAAAATTCACACATACTAAACTGCGTAAATTGAGGTAGTTTGTAATTTACTTCATCATATGTGAAATACTTTATTGGAGAATAGTACAAATTATGCTTATTAGATTGTTAAAACATATCATTGAGTAATATGCCACAAGATCATTGAAGAGTACATTATTAATATTAGATTAGCTAATAAAGTAGGATATGGTGGGGTTTTCCCATTCACAAACATGAACACAGTCATGACTTCTATAAATCTTAATTTAGACCCAAATTAAATGATCTTTAGAAATTTTTAGTGGAGAAATCAAATGTAGATGCATATTGACCATTATTTTAGTTTATTTATTTTATTAAAATTAAAAAAGAAAACTGTATATAAATACTAACTTCTCCGTAGTAACATTTCAAACTAGGTGTGTTGAATAGTTGCAATGCATTGGATTTAGGCAACAATGCCTTAGATTTAGGCAGTCTTTAATTTCCACCCGTTTTGTGATAGCGTGCACCTCAATTCCATAAATTTCTCAGGAATGAAAAATATTTAGTGAGCATAATTTCATCATGGGAGAAAAAAGAGGGACAGGCATATGACAACTCCTAGATGCAGTGTACTCAAAGCACATTTTAAAGAAAAAGCTTTCCCCTCGTTAACTTCTTCTCAGATAAGAAGTAAGATGCTATATACTTTTTAGAGCTTGTTAAAGAAAATTCCCCCCCTAATTTTTTTTTCTTTTCTCCTTTTTACTTATTGCTTAGTGGTTTCAGATGATAAATTTTTTTAATTTCTTTTTTTACAATTAGCCAGGATTGTTGAGAATTTTTTCTGTTTAATAAAATTTTTATTAATGGTTTTCGTTGGTTATACCATATGCTCACAATGGAATGAGCAAAGAGCTAGAATTGGAGAATAAAAATGGAAGAATTTGCTTGGCATT